GATGAATTTGGATAGTTGATAGTTGAGTTTGAAATGAGTACGGATAGTTGTGAAATTCTCGTGCCCAATACTTGATTATTGTATGTGTGTACGAGCATGCATGTGATTTAAATATCTTTAGGGGTTATTTTGAGTATTATATGGGTAGTGTCCAATTAACATGTTTTGAATTTGTGTATGGGTAATATTCATTTATGTTTGAGTAATTATAAATGTATTCTGATTCAAATTTGAAAATGGCCAAACAGAAAAGTACCTACCTATTATCATTTCTAATAACATGGGTAGAGTAAATGTATAAAAATTATATGTAGTCATAGTGGTGAATATGTAGTTCATATGAATAATGTGGTGATGCTAATTTGTAGATATAGGTGGTGACAGAGTATGTAGGTGATGATAGATGTATATTGGTAGGTGGTTGGAAAGATAATATGAATAAATAGATAAATGAAATTTGTATGTAATAATAATAGTGATTATAAATGAAGTTTATTTGCTACATATTTTATAATTCATGCATACAAAATGTTTTGTATGATTATAAAAGAAGCTTCAACATACCACACGAGCTCAACCACAAGCTCGTGTGGTTCATTTCTTTTGGGTGGCCATGAATTGTGTGCATACTTTTGATAGCTGTTATGAAATTTCCCAGTCAGGTACATATGATGAAAAGAGAAAAGGGTAAACTTAGATTGGTAATTAAGTTGGAAATGTTGATATTACACTTGCTTTCTTATTAGTGAATATTTTTTAATATACGAGTTTTAAAAAATTGTCTATAATATAGAAAACTGTAAGTCAAATGCATCAAACTCAACCTGAACTTGAACAAGCAATTGCTTGGTATATATGAGGCGGCAGGTTGTCTCAAGAAAGGAGGTTATGTGTTTGGGTTTGGATCATATACCCAATACTACTTCCCCAAGGTGGCGATGTAGAAGAAGTCGAGATATGGAGAATCATCCTCACATACAGCTTGTGAGGAAAGAATTAAACAATTAGAGCAAGATAACAAGGGCATTATAGAGCAAAATAAGAACATTATGGACTTGCTTCAAGGTTTATGTATTGCACATCCAGAATAGTTCCCATTTGTTGCTCCTACGGGGCCTACCGCCAATTGGGCTAGATAATCTCAAGATGAATGATGATACACAATCTCGCGTGTAATATTCTCAATAGTTCAATTTTTTACTAAGTAATTTTTAGAACTTGTAATGCTACTTGTAAATATAAATGTAGAAATATTTAGAATTGTAAAGTAGCTACTACTTTTTGAAATGTAAAATAGTTACTACTTTATAAATTGTAAAGTTAGATAACCTTTACATGCAATTAAAATTGCTACTTTTTGGTGTTGTTACATTGCTATAAAACTACTATTGCATAGTGGATAATATGCATTAAATCAATAGAGTAGTGAAATGTAATTTTTTTTGTAATTCAATTATTTTTTGAATGCCAGTGGTCGGAAAAGTCACTCTGTATTATTACGGTTTAATATTTGTGGTCAAAGTGGTGGTTGGAAATCATACTCCTTAATAATACGGAGTGCCTTTTCTGACCACCAAGTGGTCGGAACCTCATGAAAGCCTACATTCTCATGCAACGAATTTTTCTGACGCTTTTATTTTTTTAGGACGGTATTTCCAACCATTATATGTGGTGGTCGGAAATACCTACGATCATTTTTGCAGATCTGAAAAGTGGCCCGACAGAGCATTTTGGGAGGATGTAAATCATGGTGACTCAACTGAACATGAGAGGTTGCTCCCACACTGCCGCTGGTAAAACTCGATCCCTGGTCATTATTCCAAAGTTTCACCTCTATGACCAGTTGAGCTACCCATACGAGCTACTCTCATTACTCAAAAAATACAATATAAGGGGTACTTTGTCTCTTCCAAAGTTTATGTTTTTATCTTTACATATTTTCCTTTAATTATCATATTTAATTAAATCGAACCCTGAATTAATTAATTCCATCGATTCATAATTCATAGCCATTGGCCACAAAGCTAAATAACAAATACGCACATGAAACATAAGTTGGCTTAGAACTCAAATCGCTATCGAATTTCTTGAAACAATTTGCAACCAAAACCTTGGGAACATGTTAGAATTAACATTTTTTTTTTTTGAAAGGAGAAATTAACATTAATAACATGTGATTACGAATCCTCAATTTCTGAATTTCCTGCGTGTGAATTAGATTCCAATCCTTCTTTATTTGTGATTTTATCGGAAGACAAAATCTTCCAATTGGATAAATCCAACTTGTTTCTCTACAACTCATCAGATGCCTTCAGGAAAGCTACATTACATAGGCAATTTATATCATGGACCAAGGTATACATAACATTAATACATTATGGATCCTGTATCGAAACGACAAGGTACAAAATTCATACTCGTAAAGTATAAAATTTCATAACACAAGATACATACACATATTATATATTTACTTATTTTTTAAATCTGATTTAGTTACATAATTTGTGTTAATAAGCACAGAATTTCACAACACAAAACACACAAATTCATAACATAAGACACAATTACTAATTTGTTTTAAGTACATAATTTATACTGTTAAGGTACAGAATTTCATAACACAATACACAAAAACTCACAACATAAAATACATACACATGCACCAAGATCCACATTGCACTATAAACCTTGATCCATGGTATAAGGATTGAATTACATAAGAGAAAGCTAAAAAAAATATGCACTATTCAGCACGATAAATAATTGTTTTAATAAAGGTATGTCAAGATCAAACGCTTACTAATCAAGAGTTATAGTTACTAATCAAGATTTATATATGTAATTTTTAATTTAGTTTTATTCTCTTGAATATTTAAAAAATAAAATAAAAATTGGAGTGATATCGCCTATCGGACTAATCTATTCGAAACCAAGTAAAATCGATCTATGCTTCATCATCCTCCACATTTTAGGTGCTAAAGCTCATCACTCCTGCAGTCCTACGTAATATGCGTGTTTGTTTTTGTGTTTGATTTTAATTCGAGACATGTGAAGGAGAAAATTAATAATCCGAGTGTCTGAAATAATTAATCAAATAAGATTAATAAAATATGAATGACAATGAATGTATTCAAAGCCAAGCACCTTGTGACTTGTGCTCAGATGACATGTAGTAACCTCTTTCATGTAGGAGGTCATAAGATCAAGTCTCAATGGAGACGTTGGTAACTCTTTGTACTTTATTAGGTGGATCTCATTCAATCTTTGTCCAACTAAAAACTATGTTGGTCGACCTCCATCAATGCTAACCCCATCGGGAATCCTCGTGGCCCCATGGTTAGCTCTAGTTTGCATGTTTTGCCATAGGTCCACACCACATCTCTTGGGGGGTCAAGTCTAATATATTCATGATCATCAGCCCCCACCCACTCCCTAAGTTGCAAAAATTTGACAATGAAAGGGAGTATGGTAGTTGACCTCACTATTTAGCCCGATGGATGAGCCCGGTCAAGAGCAAACCCTTCTAATTGGGTGAAGATAACCTTGCATAGAGACGCTATATAATAGTTGAGGAGTCACAACCAGTCCCCCACCCCGCAAAGAAATAAAGAACTGATTTGAGGGTGAAGATCGAGAGATCGCAAGCCCCTTGGTCCAAGTTTTTCACTTAATGCCACCTTAATTGCTTGAATGGAATAGTCTTGGCACTAAGTGCAATCTCAACCTAATACCACATATATAAATGGGCATGGTGAACCTCCTTCATTTGATTGCCTGGGTGGATATATTAGGGTTCATCAATGTTTGAAGGTTTAGTAAAAAAAAAAAAAAAAAAAACAAAACAAAAAACAAAACAAAACAAAGCCAATTTTATAATTATTGAAAACTTTTAGTATTTATAAGAATAATCCCACATTTTCACTTTATTTTCTTGCAATAACTATCTACCACTGATCTACAGAGATAGATAGATTATATTAGTCATCACTTTTTACATAAGAGCATATATTCTCACTTGAATTCTTCCCTCTATATATATATATATATATATATATATATATATATATCATACTTACATAGAATATAGTATTATATTTTAACTAAAAAATATTACATGATTGATATCATACTAAAGTTACTCAAAACCAAAAGATGTATTTATATCTTCTAAAATATTCATCCCCTTTTGTAAAATATAGAAGATTAACTCGCGTAGAAACAACAAATTAATAAAAGTTCTACCAAATGTAATATAATATAATATTTACAACTTTACACCAACAAAATTTAATTTAATTTAATTATTTTCTGTAATCATATCTAAAACATAAATACTTTATTATTATGGAGTGTTTGGTAAATATATAGTTGTTAGCTGATAGCTGTTAGTGGGTTTGACTAATTGATAATATTAGTTTATTGTAGAAAAATGTTTGGTAAATTAATTGTTAGCTGATAACTAATTACCTGCAGAATGACTTTCTAAAAAAATTTATCGAAAAAGTGGTTTTGAGCAGCTTTTTGAATTTTAACATTTTATATCAATAAACTGTTACAAAAAATCTAATCAATCAAACATTCATATTGATTGTTTAATCAAGTCAAACAGCTAATAATAATCAAATAAGTTAAAATTAGTTGATAAACTAACTATATTACCAAATCGGGGCTATATAAAAATGTTTGTTGATTACTCCTATCTTATACTTTCGGTGGTATAGAATATATATGATAAAATAAAACTCCATATATTTAAAATAAAAAATAAAAGAGCATGGAGACGTCTCGATCAGTTTCCGTAAATGCAAAGAATCGTCGTCGCACGACATATCTATCTTTATAATTCTGTGTTTGTGACAACGTAAATCAATCGCTATCACTCTCCAAATCAAATCTTGACTTAAATAAAATAAAATATATATCCATATGAAGATCTCAAACGTAACCAGGCTATAAATACGCCTCCCTGCTCTCATTATTTTTTCATCAGATCAGACAAAAACCCAAAGATTTCCTCATAATATAATCCTCCAAGGCTCAAACCTTAATCAAACAAAAACCAATCAAATGGAGAGCAGTGTGCTAAGAATGGCGAAAAAGAATCCGGTGGTGATCTTCAGCAAGAGCTCTTGCTGCATGAGCTACAGCATCAAGTCCCTTTTCTCCGACCTAGCTGTCTACCCGGCGGTGTACGAGCTCGACGAGATCCCGACCGGCCGGGAAATCGAGCAGGCTCTGGCCAGAATGGGCTGCAACCCCACTGTTCCTGCGGTGTTTGTCGGCGGCGCGTTGGTCGGGGGAGAAAGTGAAGTTATGAGTCGTCACCTCCAAGGCTCTTTGGAGCCCATGCTCAAAAGGGCAGGAGCTAAATGGGTTTAACGTACTCTATTATTTACTTATAATAATAATAATAATAATAATATTAATAATAATAATAATAATAATAATAACGAAAAAAATTTACAATAAAAATGGTGTCTTGTACTGATATAAGTACAGCATCATTGGATAATAGTTGTGGATTTCTTTTAGTCACCTAAAAATAAAATAAAATAAAATATATGCAAGTATTCTAGATGATATTATAGTGATACTGTGAGATATATGTTGGACTAGATAATGTAAGTTTTTAAGGTCAGATGATTAAGCTAACTGGTTATTAGCAGAAATTTATGTACGAGATAATGCATGATTATGAGAAAGGTTATAGTAGATGCAGCTACAGCTACTAAATAATTTGTACTACAGTGGACATACAGCTTCTCTTTTGGTATTGCAAGCTGTTATTGAATGTAATTAAGTCCTTTTTGGTTACTAAATAATAAACTTTGCTTTATTCTTATGCCTCCTTTTCTTTTTGGCAATTTCATGGCAAAATTAATGATTTTGGACTGCTACAATTTCACTATTTTTATTAGATCCTTATATTTTTAATTATTGAAATATAATATTACTTCAATTACGCTAATTGTATTTCATTCAAACAACTTCTGGAAAGCAGTTAGAGAAATGAACTGACTGGCCTGGTCTTCTAATTGCATGCACCAAACAATATTACACAAATAGTCCATACGAGTTAATTGATTGTAAACTCAGTGTAATTAGAATATGAATATTTTGTTTGATAACCATTTACATATCATGATTTTTTGTTACAATATTGTAATTATTATAGAATACTATTATTTAAAAACTTATATAATGATAATAATATTATTATTATAACAATAATAATAATAATTATTATTATTATTATATACTTTTTATATTTTATATAAGGTATTTATGTCTTTTAGAAACATGTTTCATTTCTATTTCTTGAACCAACTAAACATTGTAATAGCATTCCCAAAGTCTATTCATTCGGCGAAGTAAACAACATTAATATAATTAATGTTCTGATCTGTTACTTGTCTATTTTATTCCCTATGGAATAACATTATTATTCCCTCAAAATTTATTTTGTGAACCAAAAATGTTGTTGTTATATTAATACTTATATAAAGTCATAATTAATGATATAATTATTAAAGCTTGTAAACATATATAATATGATTAATTTAACTATATATAATTTAATTTATAATTATTTATGTCTACGCATAAATCGATTACATGATCATGAATCATATCATTCAAATATATAATCATGGAATTTAACGTATGTAATGATAAAATATATAATATTTTAAAATGATTTATATAAATATATTATCATACAAAATATGTACAACATGCTAGTGGGTTATGATAAGGATATATTATATTATGACGGGTTACACAAATTATTTTGTGGATCCGAGTTCAAATGTTCACAATTTATCTTTTAAAAATTTACAATTTGTATATTACGAACACACAATGTTAACATATATATAATTGATGACTTTGTTTTGTATTCACAAGTTCTTTTCAAATATTGCAGTCACACAATATTAACATATTAGGATTTGATGACCTTGTATTGTATTCACAAATTTCCTTCTATAGTTGTTATGTGTTTTGACTTAAAAATACAATTTATATTTTAGAAGTTCATAATTTCAATATTAAAAATACATAATTTATACGTCGTTGAAGACCAGAGTCCACCTTGTTATAAGGTGGACCCTAGTCCATGGTATAACAACTCGACAAGATAGACATGCTTTGACAGCTCTAGTTTTATCAACCTTAATCTATCAATATCTTGTATATGATAGATTCAAATTTCATTAGTGCTTGTACTTTCATTTTATGCTTACCTTACTTATTATTGACATGATTAATAATATGCTTACTTTTATCCTCTAAGGGTGTGTTTGGAAACCCAGAAAATGATATTTTGGTATAAAATGAAAAAAAGTGAGTAAAAAAAAAAAAGATTGTTTTGTCTAAGAAAAATATCATCAGTTTTTGGAAAATCACTTCACTTTCTTTTTTTGGGAAGTCATTTTCTAGTTACCACACCACCACCACCACCCAACACCACTACCACCACCATCACCACACCACCATCGCCACCAACACCACCTCCACGGCTCCACCACCACTACATAGGTATGCCAACAGTTCGGTTCCGGTTCTGAATCGGAACCAAAACCTTGTAATAGGTTCCACATATTTTTTGTTTTTATTTGATTTTTTTTTTTTGTTTTTTGTTTTTTTGTTTTTTTTGTAAATTATATTTGTTTTTTTTAATTGTCCAAATTCAACAATTTATTTATTTATTTATTGAAAATTTTGAATTTTAAAATGTTTTTAAAAGATTATATGAAATAAACAAAAGGGTCAGATAATTAGCCCTTGAACTTTACTCATAAGGGCAATTAGGTCCTTGAACTTCAAAAAAGTCAATTAAACACTCAAATTTATTATTTTAGTGCATCTAAACTCAATAATCGATAATTTACTTGAAATAACTAGTCATCAAGAATCCGGCAAGAATTCTGACAATAATTTCGGCAACAAAAAATTTTCCGGCGACTATATTTAAAAAAAAAAAAAAGTTCAGCAAAGTCACCGTTCGTCTTCTCCGGTGGAGAAGACGAACCATATGGTTGTCTCTTCCATGGAGGAGACGACCAGATCTGGTCCCGGAGATTAGAAGGTCATCTCCTCTATGGAAAAAACGACCGGTCTGGTCATCTCCTCCATGGAGGAGACGACCAGATCTGGTCTCGGAGATTAGAAGGTCATTTCCTCTATAGAGAAAACGACCAGATCTGGTCCCGGAGATTAGAAGGTCATCTCCTCTATAGAGAAAACGACTGGTCTGGTCATCTCCTTCATGGAGGAGACAACCAGATCTGGTCTCGACGACCAGAAGGTCAGCTCCTCAATGGAGAAGACGACCAGTCTGGTCATCTCCTTCATGGAGGAGACGACCAGATCTGGTCGCTTTCTCCAATAGAGAAGGTGACCAGAAGGTCGTCTCCTCCACGGAGAAGACGATCAGATCGTTTTCTCCACCAGAGAAGACAACCGCTCGGGTCGTCTTCTCCGGTGGGGAAGGCCGAAAAATGGCACCGGTAAGTTTTGTTTATTTTTTCCGATCGTGAATAGTGGTCAACGACTAGAATTTAACGGTAACTTGTTGGTTACCGGTTAATCTGACATAATTGACTCATTTAAATAAGTTTGAGTTTTTAATTGATCTTTTTTGAAGTTTAAGGGTCTAATTGCCCTTCTAAGTAAAGTTTAAGGGTCTATTTGACCATTTTCTCTATGAAATATTTAAACTTCAAAGTTAACCTATACAAAAATTGTTAAACTTTAAAATATTATTTAAAGTTCAAATTTAATAAAATCATAGTTAAAATTTAATAATAAAAAAAATTTCGGGTTATGAACGAGAACCTTATGGTTGGAGTCGCTCGTATGGTTCCGATTTCGGTCCGATTCTAAACGGTGCACGGTTCGGTTCGAATCAAACCGAACCGTGATCATCCCTACCACTACCCCACCACCACCACTGTCACTACCACCACCATCACCGTACCACCACTACCATCAGTGGTGGATCCGGAAAATAATGTGAGTGGGGGCGTATTTAACTCCAGATCTCACTTCTAAGAAAAAATTGCATCTTTCATAATTCTGTCTGAAGATTTTGCCACGACTTTAGAATTGTCAATGATAAAATATCAAACATCTATAATATGGTCCAAATACATTATAAATTATAATACAATATTTATGATAGACTACAAGATAGTTAATGACCTAACCAAAACTGTACTTGGATAGGATGAAATTTTAAAACACTTCGATATGTTATAAAAATATTTATGATAAAATATAAATCATAATAATTAGATAAAATAGTTCGAATAGAAAAGACATTATATTCATAAATACTTTAATTTTAATTTTCTTTTAATTAGATCAACTTTAAATTATTCTAAATTAATTTGAATACGATGAAGTATAATATAAACTTGTTGACTACATTAAGTAAATGATTCACAAAAAAAGTAGACTTAAAAAATATTTAATTTATTGAATGGTAAGAAGAGCTAAAATAAAGATAAGAAGCTAAAATAAAGAAAAGAAGCTAAAATAAAGAAAAGAAGCTAAAATATACATGCAAAAAAAGTAGAATTAAAAAGAATACATTTAATTTATTGAAGAGTTAAAATAAAGATAAGAAGCTAAAAGCCTAAAACATATAAAAATGCTATTAGTAGGTTTCAGACCTGAGACACTCCATATCATATGGAAGTTTCAATCCACTAATCTATTGAGCACTTTTGTGATTTATACATATACTTACATATTAGAACTAAGTAAGGATTGTGTGTGTGTGGGGGGGTGGGGGGGGGGGGGGGAGGGGGACCACTGACTACAATTACCACTACCACACTACCACCACCACCACCACAACACTACTACCACCACCACCACCACAACACTACTACCACTATTACACCACCACTTCTTATTATTATTATTATTATTATTATTATTATTATTATTATTATTATTATTATTATTATATAACAAATAACACCACCACCACTACCACCACCATCAACACCACTATCACTACCACTATCATCACCATCACCAACACCACAGTACACCACCACTACCACTACCACCATCTTCACCACCACCACCACCACCGCCAAAAAGATATGATAGATATAAGTTTATAGTAATAATGATGGAGGCATTAATGTTATAATTAAATATTAACGGAGTTATAACGGTGTAGGGGTAGTTTTGTCTAACAAGAATGTAAGTAGGAACAACTTTGTCTAATAAAATTAAAGTGTACAATATTTAAAATAAAATGTATACATTTATTAGCATACAAAAATGAACATAACTGAAGAATATAAATTGGATTGAGACTTATTATATTTTGATTATAGATTTATAGATATAGATTAGATAGATAATAATCTTTAAAGAGCAAATACCAATTTTAGTCCCA